GAAATTAAATTTTAAAAGAAAATTTAGAATACTGAGTTGAAATTTTACAATTAGTCATTGGATAGGATATCCTAATAATATTATTTGTCATTTTGCTCCAAAACGAAAAATAAAGGTAGTTTATTCCTGAGAGTATTTCATGTTTTCTTGTTTTTCGACCCCCCGTATAAAATTTTCAAAAAGTAAAGTAATAGACTTTTAAAAACAAGCAGAACTTTTTGTGAAGAATGACTTTTGGTCCATTTGTCCTCTTGGGCCTTCTAGTATAAAAAGTATACGCTATAAATATAAAAAATGGAACCTACTAGGTAGGTAAATAAAAAAAAATCAAAATAAAATCCAAATTTAAGCTACTAGGTTAAACCTAAAAAATACAATTTTATTTACGGTAACAATTATAGGAGGTTACAATAGGTTAAAAATTATAATATTGTAAATTACAATTTCTAATATGTATGGTTTAAAAATTATATTTTATTTATTGTGATGAGTAGGTTAGTAGGATAGGTAAACCCTACCAACCTACCCAAATAGATTTTGCCAACCGTGTTTGGATTTGGAACCAACTGCCTAGACTTTGGTGGGGCGACTGCCCCCCTACACCCCCCTTAGGTCCGGCCCAGAGTAGCATCATTCACAATACTACTCTATTAAATGAAATAGTCAAAATTCTACTATTTGAATTAGTACCAGCATTTTTTACTAATAAAGAAGTCGTTTTCACTTTAAAATGGTTATATTTTACTACTTAAAAACTATATGCATAAAATTTCGGGACACCCTGTATAGGCAAGAATTTTCTAGTAAGCTTTAGGACAAAAGTGACGTTTGGGTTATTTATAATAGTTATATTTTTTATAATTTTATAAAAAAAATTTGAAATATTAACTCTGAAAAAAATTGGGGATGTTTTTGTAACTTTGCCCCCCCAAATGTTACGCCTATGATGAAATTTTAAAAGTTTTGATCTTAGATCTAGATTCAGCATGTCAAAATTACCAAATTACCAAATCTCCACTTCATGAACGTTTTAATGAAAATATGAGATAATAATAATGAGAGTAATTTATTTATAAATGCATTTTTCTCGAAAATGGTGCATCTAAACGATCTAAATAAAGAGTACTTATTTTTCGTAAAAAACTTTTCATAATTTCATAAACAAAAATTAAAACATTAACCTAGAAAAAAGTTAGGGCTATTTTTGTAACTTTGCCCCCCCAAATGTAACGCCTATGATTCAATTTTAACAGTTTTGATCTAATATCTAGATTCAGCATGTCAAAATTACCAAAGTACCAAAAATTTATATCTTCCCGTTCAAACCTCTAGGAATAGTTTTAAAAAAATGATCCTCTTAGGCTCCTATTCAGGGGGCCGTAGCTCCGTTAGGGGGCATTTTTTGTTTATTAAACAAACAAGTGTTATTTTTCTATAAAGAATGTATTTTTTAAGTTTGGCCCCCCAATTTCGGGACACCCTGTATAGGCAAGAATTTTAACGTATACGTCAAAATTCTTGGCCAAGAATCTGGTCGAAATCTGGTCACAGACTTGTCGCAAGTCTGGCACCAGTCTGGATAAAGAATTTTGATCAAGAGTCTTGGTCAAGAATTGTCCAATTTTTTACAAAGTGCTTTTCCAAGTATCTTGACAAAGAATCTTGTCCAATTCCATTGCTACTAGGGTAAAAGCCTAAAATGGCGAAATTTTGATTTATTGTCCTAAAAGAACATTTTTATGAGCCTTAAATAGGCTCTTTTAATTTTTTAGAAAAAAATATTTTTTATTGCGAAAAAGTAAATTATTTTTAATTTCTTGCTATTATTTCAACTAGACGCCCTTGGCGAGTCGAGGACCACAAACCCTAATGAAAAGAGTAATTGTGTTTTTATTATATCTAAATATTTATTATAAATAATTATGGAGTTTCTAAAATAATGGTTAAAAATTATTATTTACTTTGTGACACACATCGTATATATGAAAATTACAGTAAAATTTATGAACACAAAGTTTGTGTTCATAAATTTTACTGTAATTTTCATATATACGAGGTGTGTTCAGAAAATAACGGGAATTGTTAAATTTCGCGGCTTCGGAGGGTCCGGTTGTCATAAAATTTTATTTATTATGTTGGTATACATGCCCCCAAAGTATGATAAAAACTGTTGCTGTTTTTATTGTTTAAGGCCGTATTACAGCCGGCAATTCTTTCGGCAATTGCAATGAAAATTGCCGTAGGCATGCGCGGTAGATACATTTCGACGAATCTCTTGCAATTGCCGAAAATCGGTCCGGATGGATTTTTATTGCCGTTTTACGGCAATTCTGGGGTGAAATCTGGTAACTTTTATGTTACCAACCCTACTACAAATTCCCTAGAGAGATGCTGTTTGACTTAAACAGTTTAAGGTTATTTGTTTTATGATTGGCGTTGTATTCAAAGTTCTAGTATCCATTTCACTCATTAATTTTTAAATATCTGCACTAAATAACAAATAAACTTAGTGTTTACAAAATCGTATATTTTTCTTCGGTTGGTAGCACGGTAATAAACAGCAAGTTTTCTTGCCATTGCCGGCTGTAAAACAACATGCAAGACGGCCTTGAAAACTAGATGGCAAGAAAAATTGCTGCAAGAAGAATTGCCGGCTGTAATACGGCTTTTACTTTGTCTGTGGCAGCCGCTAAGGTTAGACGTGTTTTATGAGCTCGGCGATTTTCGTTCAAGAAATGAATCAAAGAGAATTTGTATCCAATTTTGCTTAAAATATGAAATAAGTTCTGTTAAATGTTAACAAAGGCCTATAGTGAGTCTGCTATAAGTAAAACAAGAGTTTACAAGTGGTATAAGAGTTTCCAAGATGGCCGTGAAGACGTTGAAAATGACGAAAGCCCCGAACGCACAAGCACATTAACAACCGATAAAAACATGGAAAAAGTGGAAGAAATGGTTATAAACCATCAGAGAAGTGGCTAATGATGTTGGTTTATCGATATCCCATGAAATTTTTTCAAATGTTTTGGGTATGAAACGCGTGGCAGCAAAATTTGTTCCAAAATTGTTAAGTTTTGAACAAAACTTTTGGCCAAAAACAATACTGTAATGCTGACCCAGCCTCCATATTCGCCGGACATGCCTCTGTCTGACTTTTTCCTATTCCCAAAAATAAAGAGAACCTTAAAGGGCCGTCGTTTTCCAAGCATAGATAACATTAAAAGCGCATCGCTGAAATAACTAAAGGCTATCTCAACGATCGAGTTTTAGAAGTGTTTCGAGTATTGGAAGAAGAGCTGGCACATGTGCATAATATCTAATGGGGACTATTTTGAAGGCGACAACATTAATGTAGACGAATAAATAAATATTTGTTTCAAAAAACGAAAATTCCCGATATTTTCTGAACACACCTCGTATATTACATATATGGTAATTTCAGACTTTTTAGCAGTTTTTAGTAAAATAATTTCTCGCCATCTATGGCATAAATAAATAACTCTCCACAATTTACAGGTGGTAAATAGTCTTTCTATAAAGACAATAGATGGCTAAAGCCAACTTTGACAACCGCTGGAATCAAGTTTTCAATCACCGTATCCTTTTGTTTGTATTTGTTTATATTTTTGTTCAGCGTCGGCCTGCTTGTTTCTGGTAAGTTTATAGAGATTTAATTAAATTACAAATATATTAAACTTTAAAATATTATGAACAATATTTGAGGAGCATCCGTGCAAAACCGGCTAAATCCATTTTATTCAGTTTTTGTTTTTTTTTGATTTCGCATCTTTGGGTTCATTTCTATCGACAACCAAAATAATTCAGTTTAAATCCGACTAAATCCATGTTAAAATCACATTTAAAATGTAGCTTTAGGAGCAAAACCGGCCAAATCCACATTTTTGTCTTATAAATCAAGTACCACAAAGCCCACAAAACTCAAGTTTGCTTTTTCTTTTATCTGCAAAGGCCAAGAAACCGAGAGTTTTTGCCATTTTCCCAACATTTTATTAAAGTGGATATAGCCGGTTTTGCACGGATGCTCCTCATTTATTGACAAAAAAAAATTGATTTTTATAAGAGCGGCTGTTTAAAGTTTAATTTATATGCAAATGAAATTTTAAAAAGCTGTTTTTCCGTGTTTAGGTTTTGGGAGATTCTATCTTTCAAAAATCTGACACGGAAAAACAGCTTTTTAAAATTTCATTTGCATATAAATTAAACTTTAAACTGCTATTTGTTCCTCTTTAAATTTTGGGAGATAGAACAATCTAATTCTCAGGTCAAGCTTGTCAGGCTATTATAGCCTGACAAGCTTGACAAGTGACAGAATTGAGTTCAATCCCCGGCTGGGTCAAAACTTTTTTTAAATTTAAATCTACTAATTTGACTATTTCATTCAGTAGAATTTGACTAATTATTAGTGACTGCTTTTTCGCTATGACAATTAGTCAAATATGACTTATAATTAGTTATTTTTGACTAATTCATTTTAAGAGAGTATAAACACGTTTATCTACTTTTTATCCAATCTATTTATACCATATTAAAAGGCATGTAATTCCGCAACTTCTCTCTAATTGAACCGGTCTTGTAACTTTAACCGTTTCCGGAATAGCAATGCTATCGAATGACAATTTGGACACCCTATATAAACTGTACAGAAAAGATTGTGCATATTATCACTCTTTTTAGAGCTTTTCTAAAAACAATGATGTTATGCTCTTTAACGTGGTTTATGTTTGAACCTTTAAAAACCAAGAAGCTATAGCTACAGGGTTTAATGCAAAATACATAGTCACCAATACAAAATAACCGCTCATAAAAAAACTAAACATCTAAAACATTAAAGAATACCTGTTTAGGTACACTGTGAGTACCTATAGTACAAACATTGGTAACAAAATAATAAATAAATAAATTTTGTCAGCAAACCTTTTAAATCAAATTGGTTGATTTAATATGGATTGACCGGAAGCTAAAAAAAGGACAGTTCTTACCTGTGCGACGGTGGTGGAGGTCTGTGTAGTGACCGAGGGTCGCACGGCTGAAAAAAGTTGGCTAAAGCGGGTCCTTCGCGTATGCTGTTGCTCCTGCTGACCCTCGTTGGCCTGCTGATTTTGCTGCTGATTGTTGCTGGGAATCTGCTGATCCTGGGGCTGTCCGTGGATACGGATCGTGTGCCTGGGAGGCGACGCGTTGTTTAAAATGAACTGCTGAAACTGTGCTTGTTGTAGAATGATGGGCAACTCGTAATGATGAAAGAAGTACACCATAGAATGCTGAAATAATAAAATTGTTACAATGTAGAATGCAGTTTTGACTTACCTTATTAATATATATTGATTTTAAGTGAAAAGAAAATGTATAATCAAAAACATAACGCAAAAATTATATTTGACGATGTCAATATGACTTTTTAGAAATAAGTTTTAAAGTATAGTGTGTGACCTGATCTTTTAATTTATATGTAAAATTGTCCGCTAAATCCTAAAATGTCAAAATAAATTAAAATACCTAGTAAATTTTCCATAATGAAATTAAAGGCAAATAAATTTTTTATCATTTATTATGTCTATCATATAATATTATAATATGATAATGATATACACACACATATACAGGGTGTCTCAAAACTTTTGAGTCAAAAGTCAAGGACAGCAGAAAAAGGGTGGATAGAGGATGGGATTCTGTCTAATAGTCTGCCATTTTTTGATCAGAAGCACCATTAATAAGTTATTAATAAAATAAAGTAGTCAATTACAGACGTGCTCTAGCAGAACGATTAGAGGTGGGACAACACAAACTTTTTTAGTAATTCCATGGCTATGAACGTATCATATTGTAAAATGACCTTAATTTTATTTTTTCTGTCACTGTCAGTTAAAATAATTATTTTATTAATATTAATAATAATTAATTTTAACTTTATATTATTTAATTAAAGATAGGTATTTCAATAAATATTTTAATCTTGAAAAATGAATCGTCCAAAAAAATTTTCGGCAGAAGAAGCAGTAAGAGACTTAACTTTGAAGGATGGGGGCTATTCGATGTCATGTTGCTAATGTGATAGGAAGACATCGTTCGACTATAAGTCGTATGGTTAAACGATTTAAAGAGACAGGATCTTACTCTTCAAGGTCAGGACAAGGGCGAAAACGATGTACCCATCCAAGGGATGAGCGTTTTATTAGGCAAACTGCTCTAGAAGCAGGAAGATTACTAGTACTAGGCTAAAAAGTGAGCTTAGAACTGCTCGCCATAATACAATATCGTCTCGAACAATCAGGAGACGTTTAAATGAGGCAGGTTTAAGCAAGAGAAGACCGGCAAAGAAACAATTACTGACCAGAGAGTACAGAGTTTCAAGATTGCGTTTTGCCAGAAATTATCAACATTGGACTGTTAATGATTGGAAGAAGGTTTTATTTTCTGATGAAACGAGAGTTAGTCTCAATTCTCCTGATGGTGTGAACGTGTTTGGCGAAGGTCAGGAGAGAGATTTGCAAGTGGCAATATCTCCCCTAAAATCCCGTTTGGTGAAGGCTCTGTAATGTTTTGGGGAGGAATATGCTTCAACGGACGCACAGAGTTAGTCCCTATACGTGTAAGATCAATGAACGCCGATTATTATCTAGAAAACATTGTAATTGAACATGTAATGCCATTTGTTTCTTTTTTGGGACCGAATAGTTTATTTATGCAGGATTATGCATTTATCAAAGCGAGCAGAAATTATACAATTATACAAATAACAAATAATCTAAACATCTCTTGAAATGTCAGAAAAGGTCCATAGCCTACTTGAAAACATTTAACAATAATTGTTTTAAATAATAAAGTCTATAAAAACATGTTACGGTATAAAACGGCGTATCTCCTTTAATAACAGAGATAATGAAGTAAACCAAAAAAGAAAATGTTGGCGAAAGATTAATCTACCGTCTAATGTCAACTGCTATATGTTTCGGTTGCTAGTATACTCCACAGTAGTCCAGTCATCTAGGCATTTCACCTCGGAATCTAACGGAATAAGCTGAATTTTTGTACAAACCTTTATTTTAGCATTGCAAATGTTGTCTCAAAAGTCACATATGCCAACGTGTGAGCGGCCTTAGATATTCAAGGTCAAAGGTCGCAAAAATCAATTTTTTGAGAATATCTCCCTTTTCTCTGCCTCCTATTTGCATTTATTATACAAGTTGTAGAGAATACAATTCTCTACAAATTTTGTTTAAAACATTTTTTTATACGTCTAATCGTTTTTGATATAGAGGGCGCAGAGTGTGGAGCGCTCAGCCATACGTACCTTTGGAGCAAGGTAAATCATGAATCCCAATCTATTATACCGTTTTTTTAATTAATCATTTATTAAATATTTAATACCTTATATACAGGGTGTTTCTTTTAACTTGAGACAGCTCAATATCTCGAGAAATACGCATTTCACGGAAAAATGTCTTAAATAAAAGGTTAATGTGACCAAAGGGGACATTATTTGGTGCTACCGCTAGCCACCCCCTACCCCTCCTTAAGGGTGAAACGGGGGGTAACTTTGGAAAGTCAAATGGAATGACCCGATTTTTTTCACAGAGTTTGGTAGTACATAAAAAAATGAATAACTTTTATTTGAAAGTTTCTTTCAATTTATCAACAGATGGCGCTGTATTTCAAAATTTAAGAAAAAGGGGTTTCCTTGTAAAATGTATTATTTGAAACGTTTGAAAAACAAAAATTAATATTAAATCAACAATAGTCGGCTCTGAAAACAATTTATAACAAATGTTCGAAATGTCGTCCTTCCATTTCGACACCAAGTGGAGCACCAGCGTCCCTGGTCGGTAAACGTTTGGTGCGGTACCTTAAGCGAACGATTAATCGGACCCTTCTTTATTGACGGTGTATTAAATGGCGAAAAGTACCGGAATTTTCTAGAAAACGATCTGACGGACCTTTTGGAGGATGTACCACTAGCACGGCTCCAAAACATGTGGTACCAGCAAGATGGTTGTCCTGCACATTATTCGACAATTGCTCGAGAGGTGTTGGATCGGGAGTTCAATGGCCGGTGCACCGCGGTGGATCGGTAGACGTGGTCCAGTAATTTGGCCTGCTCGATGATGGCGTAAGATCAGGTGATCGAGCCTCGATCACCTGATCTTACGCCACCAGACTTCTTTCAGTGGGGTTACTTGAAAGAAAAAGTTTACGCTGCAATTCCTACAACTTGGGAGGACATGGTGGAGCGGATCAGGAACGCCTGTGCGGCGATACCGCCCGATATGTTGGCGCGTTGTGTGCCAGAATTCATTACCCGCATTTAAAAATGTGCTGAAATGGAATGACGACATTTCGAACATTTGTTATAAATTGTTTTTATAGCCGACTATTGTTGTTAATGTTAATTTTTGTTTTTCAAACGTTTCAAATAATACATTTTACAAGGAAACTCATTTTTCTTAAATTTTGAATTACAGCGCCATCTGTTGATAAATTGAAAAAAGTTTTAAATAAAAGTTATTTATTTTTTTATGTACTACCAAACTCTGTGAAAAAAATCGGGTCATTCCATTTGACTTTCCAAAGTTACCCCCCGTTTCACCCTTAAGGAGGGGTAGGGGGTGGCTAGCGGTAGCACCAAATAATGCCCCCTTTAGTCACATTAACCTTTTATTTAAGACATTTTTCCGTGAAATGCGTATTTCTGGAGATATTGAGCTGTCTCAAGTTAAAAGAAACACCCTGTATATTTTTATATATTTTTTTAAAACAAATAGTCATTAAATATTACTTACTTTTGACATACCTACAAATAATTAAATAATGAAGTGAATCATTCTAAATATATTCTAATGTTATTCTAATTAATGATAAATACATTTTAAGAAGAAAAGACATTAAATGAATTTGCCTTGAATATGTTATCTCTGGTCATCTCTTGGATCCAGATATTGCTTTTAAAATAACAGAACCCATCAATACACTACACAGATTTTATTTCTGGGCAAAAAATAATCCAAACATAAAAAACATTGCAATAGAATTTTTCACGCACAATGATTATGCGAATGAAACCACTGCATTGAAAGCTCGGTTTGAAAAAGCAAAAGTGATTCGTGGCACACTAACATTTCATTGCATTAGGCCAATAACGAAGAAGAAAGTGTCAGCCAAGAAAGCTCTGTCGAGGCCCTTGTCTCTAAGTAAATGTTTATATATTATTATATTATTGGAGTGATTTTAATAAACAATTGTCTTAGCACCAAAACCACCGTATTATTCACACCTTCTACAATCCCTCGACAAAACCTTCTTTTATAGAACTACAGCAGTTCTATTCAATAGTTAATAATTTTATACATGTATACATAATAGTTTTAGTCATATGATTTACTTGATTTTACTTTTAAATTTAATAAACAAGTACAGTCCAACCTTTTTTATTCTTAACCACAAATAATAATTTGGTTTTGCTGCCAATATAACAGAAATAATTGCCAACTAATCTCCCAAATTTTTGACGTTGTCAAATTCCGAATAAAAAAAACAAACTATGTTATAGACTCTATATATAGAGTATAGATATATCTATACTCTATAACTCGAAGTTTAAAAGATATACTCCGTATGTCGAAGTAGGTAATGATATCAGTTTAAAATTTTCCCAAGCAATAAAGCTAAGAAAAGTTTTATTTTATTTAAACTAAGCACATATCTATATTTATTACCCTATGTTCCTTAACTCAAAAGAAGGTGATTGGTTATTTCTAGATTTTTACATATATGTATATTAGACTGGTTCAAAAAATCGAATATTTTTTTTTCTTCAAAGCCCGAATTGAAATATCTTCCTAGTAGTGAAAAAAGAAGCCTGTGAAAATTGTAGCTCTTAATATTAATATTTAGAGGTCGCTCATCGTGAATTTCTATTTTACGTTTAAATAACACAGGAATTCTTTTTCTTTGAAATTTTATAACTCGTTTTTGAGGGAACATATTGAAATAAGCGACACATATTTTTAAAGAAAATTGAACGCTCTACAAAAAATGTCTCTTATAATTTTTTCATAAATTCACTTCTTTTATAGTTATTCAAGGTTGAAATTAGTATTAATTTAGCACACAATGTAATATAGTCAGTGCCTTAATAATGATGTAGATAATCAGTGCCGCAGTTACTTGGGGGGCTGCTCCCCTTTTCACCTCAGTCTTTGACGCCACTGGAAATTTTAAAATAATAAATAAATGTTTAGGTCAAGTTCGGCTGAAGGACTACGGT